AAAAGGTTTAGGAACTAATACATTTATTTTTGGAGCGCAAAGGATCAAACGAGGAGTTTGTAATAGTATCACCCACATGACTTATAGGATATAACTAGTGTTGCTATATACTGGGAGGCTGAGGCTGCAGTTCCAATCTAGTTGGTTGCACGTTGCTAGTTGCATCCAAAATTTATCAGTGCTGGTGCTGGAGATAAATATTAGAAGCAAAATAAATATTAAAAAGATAAATACTATTCACAAAATAAATATTAAAAAAAAGTAGATAAATGTACGTAAAACTCTATATGAAAGTATATATAAAATTTCGTATATCACTAACTTTAGAAAGTATGTAAAAGTCATTAAGAATTTGTCAACTTTATGAAAGTCAGTCAGTCACTTACAAAAAGTCTTTAAAAGTTATAATTAAATACAACCCCCTTAAGTTTGTTGGAAGGAATTAACTTGATGGGTCAACATTTAAGTCTGCTTTATGTGCCAGATCAATTCTCATGAAGAAATTGGAAGAAGAGTGCCCCCCAACAGTAGGGTTTAACAATTCATAGGGATACGGCAAGAAAAATCCCCACAAAAAGATAGAAAACAAATCTGTCACAGTGGTCAAATAAATGAGGTTGAATATGCCTTATGCATATGATGTTTTATATAACAATCCAAATTAATCGCCATTGACAGTTGAGAGACTTCTCTTTTTCCTCTGGACAAATTTACATTTACATTACCGACTGTTGACATGGCTGGCTGAATCTGTGAGAAAATTCCACAAAACCGACCCAGCCAGGTATCCCAAGGAGTACGAAGTAAGGCTTCTAGAAAAATCATTATCGTTAATTTCATGTAGCTGTCTGTGTTTACTTTGAACAAGTATTTTATTTATGAAAATTTTTGTCAAATTGAGGGATCATTCTGCCATCCCTCAAGTCAAGAAGTGTATTTTTGCTGGGTCAAGTGACAATATGAACATGGATTATTAGATTTTTCTCTGCATGTGATTTGCATATGATTGAGATGGTCTTTCAAAGTTGGAGTGTTGGACCACATGCATGCCTCTCAACAAGCCTTGACAGCAATTGGGTACAAAACATGACTAAGCCACACATACACGCTAATCTAGAATTGGCTATCGGGGCACTCGATATTAAATTTAATTACTGGAAATTAAAGCTTGTAAAATGAAAATTTTCTATTTTTTTTAAAATGAAATTATGATTGAATTTTTATTTTCCAAGAGTTCTACTTCGTGGCTTACGTACGAGCTACAATCACTTTCCCGCATCATTGGGAGTTTGGATTGGACCACCTACGTACTTATTTATTTGGCGATAAATAATAATGTCCTTGTAGTCAAAATTGTGTCGTGTGCAAACCGTAGTTAACTTAGTTATCCTTGTAAAAGCATAATAAGTTATTTACACCGCACCGGATTATGCGCTGAAAAATAATTGTAAGTCATGGTAACATCGCTAGCATACCATGTGAAGGCTGTTTTGAATTCGCTAATGTTCGATTTAAAATTTAAATTCAAGAGTATTGATCAAAGTGAAAAGAGTTGTAGAGTATTTTTTGGGAGAGAGATAATGAGTTTCTTCCCCTACAAACTCACACGTCAACAAATTCTTGACTTTGTCATTGCATGCATGCACCAATTATTCTGCTATATATATGTACATAAAATGCGTCGGCCAGTTTCTTTTACTATAAATGTGCCGACCATATACGTACGTTCCCTCCATTCCAATTCATGTCCCATCAAAGCCAAAGAGTCGAAGAGTCGAAGAGTCGAAGACGATGCTTCCAACTCGAAATGGCATGCAAAATGGAATGCATGCATAATGCCTTGCTTTAACCTAAAGCAATTGGCACCGCCCAATTAGGCTTCACCATCTCCCACTGGCCTTTTATTTTTCAAGTTTAAACGCCGCACCCCCCCAAGCTATACCTAGCTAGCATTAGCATATGCACCAAGGACAACCTTCGCCTAGTACTTCCAATTGTAATGCATAATAATTATCCATGTTTGATATGTAACATCGTTGGGGATTTTTATTCTGGGTTTGGTTTCCAATTTGATTTTATATTGTGGCAGGTCGTTAATCAAGGAGAGTGCATGGATTAGGCTCTTAAACTAGGATTAGGAGGCAGATAATTAGGGGTGTTCTTTGTGTTGAAATCCTTAATTAATTCATCTTATTATCTAATGAACATGAGATCGTGAATTTTATAGTCCTGTCCTGTCTTATTTTTCGTTACAATCTTATCTACCTAACCTAATTGACATTGGATTGGTGTGTGCGTGTGTTTTTTATTTTATGGTTGGCCACTACTACTAGAACTTGGGGGGTTTCAATTAAGCTAAGCTCACCCAAGTTTTGCCTTAGCCTGAGATTCACTTTTGTTTAAAATTTTTTTTTTAAAAGAGTTGGGTGCTCGTTCATTTTCAGTTGGGACAACTACAATTTCGTCAATTGTCACTATATTCTTCACTAACAGTTCAATTAGATTTTTAAACCTATAAATCTTCTAAGACATACCGAGTCGTACTTAGACACATAAATAGGCCTATATATCCGAGTTCGAATCTCCCTTTTCGTAATTTAAATTAAATTAAAATAGAATATTATTAAAAATCAAACCTCAAAAAAAGACAAAAAATTGTGCATGCCATAACAATTTGTCGACCTGCTGACACCTAATTTGACTGGCCGTCAGGGATTAAAGAAAAGAAAATGTGAGGCTCACACACATGATAATTTTTTCTGTGGAGAATGCTCACACGTTTGATCTAGGGACCTATTATTTTATTGAAAAACGTTAAAAGAAAATTTTAGTATTTTGAAAAGTTGGTAGAGTTAAGAAAGTATAATTGGTTGAAGAAACAGTTAATATAATTATGGAAGATGGGGAAAAAACCTACTTCTTTTTTTATACAACGGAAAAAACCAATACAATGTGTTTATCAAATTTTTTTCACTAAATAAGGTTGCAGTAATCGATTTTACTTATTTATTTTAAGTTTCACTTCACTCATAATCTCATAATTTTATAACATGTAAAATACAAACAAGCAGGGACGTACGTATGTGCATATTGGGTTGTATAGCCCAGAATGAATTTTTATTTTATTTTTAAATATCATGTAGAGTTTCATCTATATATATAAAGCAAAAGGTAGAAAATGGTGAAACATTCAAAATACCAGAAAATGCTCTTGGTTGATGCAAACATTAAATGAGGATAATATGGTAAATTCACACTTATTCATATTTAAAAAATTTAAAATTTAAAAGAAAAATCAGATAATGGATCTTATTTTTATGGAACATAATTACCCATTATCTTTTTTAATTCTAAAATAAATTTAAAATTTTCTAAACAAAAGCCTCTCACCGGCGCGAACGCGCGTGTGGAGAGGCTAGTAAATAGAACATTTTAACAATCTATGTTTGATGTAAATAGCCACAGCCCAACTCAAGTTAAAAATATGAAACCCTTATTATTTAACATAAATTGTTAACATGTTCTATTTACACTTTATAATGTCACCAGATCATTATCGAAATCCTAATAAGTACATAAAGAATATTTTAGTGATGGATCAACACAAGATGTTACAAAATGTATTGCGACACATCATTTGGTGACTAAATTTTATAAATAAATTTACTTACTCTAAAATTATTCGAAGAAAGATAAATATTCGGCTCTTCTAGCCAAATGTTGCCATGGGGGAAGATCGGTGTACTTTCAGTAGCCTAGACTACTGGTAGTTGAACCCCAAACAGATTTACCTTATGTAGCCTAGCCATTGAACCCCAAACAAATAGATTTATTCTTATTACGCTTTCATAACATTCTTTTCTCTTCATTAACTAGTAACATCCACTTGATTAAAAATAAATAACCTAGTAACATCCCCTCTTTAAATTTATTTAATCAGACAAGTAACATCCTCTTTTAAGTTAGGGCGAGCACGCCACATCCCCTCCTTCTCCCCTCCCAAATTTTAAAATATATGAATTTTTACAAAGCATGTATCTTTGATTTGTTACATGCTTTGATATATTTTTAGAGATAATAATTTTGTTATTTATCCGGCCACATCATATATTCATAGTAGATATCATATTATAATCGATTCATCTTAGCTTATAGTGGTCACATATAATAATGACATTGTACCGTATTCTCCGATTATATCATTGATCACATCTCTAACAAACGATAAGACTTAAAACTTAAAAAGTGAATTATATGTGGGTCTCACTTCTATAAGACAAAAAACATATGTAGTTTGCAATTACGGTGGAAAAAAAATACATTTTACCGGCCTTGAAAATAAAAACACCGAATGTTTACAACCCTTTGAACTGTTGTGAGTATACCCTACAACCAAATGAGATTTTAAACAATGTGGGTTTGTGTTATTTATGAATAGCTCCATCCATTGATGTTTATTTAAGTTTTAGAGCTAGTTTAGATGCTCTGCAAGTCAAGCCTGTCTCTTTAAAAATAGGCAGAAAACTGCCCGACCCTTCTCACTATTGTGTTGAGCAAAAAGGATCTTTAATAGGAAACGTTCTTCATGCCTCTTTAATACAGAACCATTTAATGAATCATAAAATAGAAATAAATAAATAAATAACTTATTAATATTAATTTTGACTGGTATTAATTAGGAAAAAGAAATTAGGCCTTTAATTGTGGCCATCGCATTCACTTCTTTTGGTCCATTTGGAATTTGCAAGTACTGTTGAGCCTGCAGACCCCAAACAGTGCCATGATTTTGGTCATAAAAAGACGCTTGAAACTGCCAAGAATTTCAGTTTGAAACTTTTGCTGTATAATAAGATCCAAGTCTTATCTCAAATTAGCCGTCCAAAAACAAAGTCTTCAATTTTTTTTTTCTACCAAATCCAATGATTCCAATAGACCCCTCAAAACCTTGCCTTTAAAATCCCGCACATTCTTCTACGCATACCCAATGGAACTAACAATCTCTTTCTCTCTCTCTCTCTGATCGCTCTCTCTCTCTCTCTCTCTCTCTCTCTCTCTCAGAATCTAGACCTATGGACCAGTTAGCTCCTTTTATCCCTGAAAACCCAAAACTTGAGCAAGAAAACCAGAAAACCCATCTGTCTCTGGCTCTCATAGAAGCCAAATGCATAGCCAACATAGCTTTTCCAATGGTTTTAACAGGCCTGTTGCTCTACTCACGCACAATGATCTCCATGCTCTTCCTTGGCCGCCTTGGAGAGCTTGCCTTGGCTGGTGGTTCGCTTGCTATTGGCTTTGCCAACATCACAGGGTACTCTGTTCTCTCTGGCCTTGCCATGGGCATGGAACCCATCTGCGGCCAAGCTTATGGAGCCAAAAGATTCAAACTTTTAGGCCTCACTCTGCAGAGAACTGTGATTTTGCTTCTCTTAACTTCAATACCCATTGCACTTTTGTGGTTCAACATGAAGAGAATTTTGCTTTCTTGTGGCCAGCAAGATGATATTGCTACTCAGGCCCAATCTTATATTTTTTATTCTCTTCCTGATCTCATTGCTCAAAGCCTTTTGCACCCTCTGCGGATTTATCTGCGAAGCCAATCCATAACTGTGCCTCTCACATTCTGTGCAACTCTGGCTATTCTTCTCCACATTCCCATCAATTACCTTCTTGTTTGTGTTCTCAATCTCGGAATCAAAGGCGTTGCGCTAAGCGGGGTTTGGACTAATGTAAATCTCGTAGGATCTTTGATTTTTTACATTGCAATCTCAGGTGTATACAAGAAAACTTGGGGTGGTTTCTCCAAAGAGTGCTTCGAAGGGTGGAAAAGTCTCATGAATTTGGCAATTCCAAGCTGCATTTCAGTTTGTTTAGAATGGTGGTGGTATGAGATCATGATTTTGCTATGTGGGTTGTTACTTAACCCTCAAGCAACAGTTGCTTCAATGGGAATCTTGATTCAAACCACAGGTTTGATATACATTTTCCCATCTTCTCTAAGCTTTGGTGTGTCAACAAGGGTGGGAAATGAACTTGGTGCAAACCGTCCCAAAAGAGCGAAACTTGCAACAATTGTGGGCCTATCTTATAGCTTTATTCTGGGATTTTCAGCATTGCTGTTTGCTGTGACTGTGAGGAACATTTGGGCAAGCATGTACACCCAAGACTCAGAAATTATTACATTGACATCAATGGTGTTGCCAATTATTGGCCTGTGTGAGCTTGGGAACTGTCCACAAACAACAGGTTGTGGTGTTCTGAGGGGAACTGCTAGGCCTAAGCTGGGTGCAAATATAAATTTGGGTTGCTTTTATCTTGTGGGAATGCCTGTTGCTGTGTGGTTGGGTTTTTTTGCAGGGTTTGATTTTAGAGGACTGTGGCTTGGTCTTTTGGCAGCTCAGGGCTCATGTGTTGTGACCATGTTGTTTGTTTTGGCTAGAACCAATTGGGAAATTCAAGCCCAGAGAGCCAAGGAGCTAACAGGAACTTTCACTATTGATGATCAAGATGATCAAGACGCTGCTGATGAAGCTTATGAGTCTTTGAGTTCATTACAAAAGGCCAAATGTGACAATTCACTAGTATGATTCTGAACATTGACCTAGTTGGAGTAGGTTTTCTGATAAGAACTTAGTAATATCTGTTATGGGAATTTTATACAATTTTGTTTCTTTCTTCAAGAGAGATAGACCAATTCTGTTGTAAATGATATGTTGAGAAATTAGGGGGTTGTTGCTAGAAAAGTTATTTTAATTCAGTATGAAGGTATTATTATTTTATAGAGCCAGTGTTTATTTCTTTTGACAGACTCTTGTGGAAGTAACATGTGCCTTTTCATTTATAAATTATTTTAATTGATATGGTCAAATGGGAAACACATTGTTGTTGCTTTGTTGCCTTTAAACATTATTTAGTGGAAGCAATTTGTTTTATGTTTTGTCTTCTTGATTGGATAGGGAACAAGATCAATGTTGTTTTTTAGTTCCTTATCTCAGACTTTTCTGGTGGCAGTTTATTTTTGTATTTTGGCTTAAATGCTTTGGGAATTATCTAATTTCATTTGCATCCATCCATCCATGGGTTGTTTTAAGTTTTGGATTGTAAGTGGATGTGGGTCGGTTGCCCTTTTGACTGCCGACTACATAACCGATCCATCCTCTCATTCGGGTAACACGGCTTAACCCTCTTTAATGAAAACAAAAATACATTTCACTTGTTCTTCATAATCTTTGTTTAACGAGTTCATTGAACTGAACAATGAAAAATGTTAAAGATGACACCCCCACTATTATAAAAAGGCTCAAAGGGCATGGACATTCGTGTTCAAAAACAAACTCGGAAAAAATCCAATTCATCAATAAAGGTTCAAATTCATGTGAAATATGATATGACTAAAGGCACTAGTTATTACTTTCTTGGATTAGTTATATTTCCCGACGCTTAACTTTGTTACTGACTTTAATGACCATTTATCGTATTGAAAAATAGATATGTGGACCAAGTCAAGCATTCAACATATAAGTCACTATTTGAGACTCACTTTAGATGATCTTTCCTTTTCATGGAAGAAAGATAATTCAAACTTAAATTTTCTTCTAAGAGTTGAAAGAGAAATATCAATAGACTAAAAATTAGATGGTACAAATATTGTGGCTTGAAAGGCTTTAGAGAAGAGAGGTGTGTGAAACCCTAGTCCCCTTTCTTCCCAAAACACATCCATAGAGTCGTTTTCACTTTGAGGGGGAAGGAACCCATTGTTCTTTCTCCCCCTTCTCCTCTTCTTTCCTCCCTTATCATATTCCCCTGTTTTGTTATGATCTTTCTCCAACCATTATAGGTAGTCGCATCTTAGCGTGGATTTCCACATGCATTTCGGAGTCGGATCTCCACTACCATCCTTTTTGCAGTTTCCTTATGTTTGGAATAAGTTGCAGAAACTCTTTAGATTCTCTGTGTAGTTTTCACCTCTCGTTTTGTGAGAACTTTTCACCTCTCCTTTGTGAGAGTTTTTCACATCTCCTTTATGAGAGTTTTATTTGTATTGTTATGACTTGGTTTTTTCAAGTTTCTTTTTTATTATTAAGAGTTTACAATCTTAGTTGAAATACTTATGTCAGAATTTCTTCGAGTGAAGGCGCACCTGATTGTAGGGGTGGGCATCTAAAGCCGAAATATCGAAACCGTATACTAACCATACTGATTTCATACCGTTTCATTTGAGATGAGGAGAGATTTAACCATACTGATTTCATACCGTTTCATTTGAGATGAGGAGATATTCGGTACGGTACGGTACCGTATCGTACTAATGAAGTATGGTGTGGTAGCGGTATCAGGTATTTAATACTGATCAATACCATACAGCACCGAAAATTTAAGAATGAGCTTTACATGTTTCAACAGCTTGATATCCTTGTTTTGCTTTCAGTTTTACTCACTTGCTAATCAAAAGCTCAAGTTATCCTCCTTCTGAACGTTTGTACAACTGTTGTCTTTCTATAGCTATAATCATAATCATGACTGTGTTATAGACTTTTCACTTGATGACAAATATACATGGCTCTTCATTTGTCATGGTGTGAGGAATCTATCTGTTAACTGCTTTATGGATCTATCAATTAATTATAAGATGGCTAGGTGTCCAACTTAGGTGTACCTGGTATTTGAAATTTTATACTTCTTATTACAAGAGGTTTTTCTTTAATGAACAGAATCACCTTTTTTGATAAAATAAATATGGCTCCCTCCAGTTCCAAATATAAGTTCTCTGTCAAAATCATTGCACTGCTCAAGCGACATTGAATTTAAATTAGGAGTATTATGACAAAGTTTATAGATAAGAACAAGAATCTTTATGTAAAAATAAACCAAGCATGCAACGTTTGCTTTGTTACTATTTTCATAGTTTCCATTCTTATTGAATTCGTTTGCTTTGACAGATTTGGTTGATTTAGATATTGAATTTGTTGATGGATATTGATTTGGTTGATTATGATTTGGATATTGAATATGTTGAACCTTTGAATCTATAACTTAGGCATCACTTATTTTGGTAAATGAATATGTTGAATATTGAATTGGTTCATTTTTGAGTTTTGTCATTTTAGTACCGAATTGGTACTAATATCGTACTGATACAGATTTAGCACGGTATGGTACAGTATCAATTTTGGCAAATGATAATTCTATACCGTATCATACCGGTTTTAATTTCCGGTATCGATAGCGGTACGAGCTCAATACCATACCGTACCGTACCGTGCCCACCCCTACTTGATTGTCTTAATTTTGATGTTAGATCGTTTCGTTATTGTAATAGCCCTTTGTGGCTAGTTTGTATTGGCCTTTTATGGCTAATGACTTTTTTAATTGAATTATAAATGCAATTCCAGAATTTCTAAAAATAATTTTGATGTTAGATCGTTTCGTTATTGTAATAGCCCTTTGTAGCTAGTTTGTATTGGCCTTTTATGGCTAATGACTTTTTTAATTGAATTATAAATGCAATTCCAGAATTTCTAAAAATAAAAAAAGGCTTCAGAGAAAGGATTAATGTGTTTTTAATTGATTTCTCAATAGAAAAAGGCTTTAGATAAACCCCATCCCACCAATCTTCTCCTCCTGATTGGTGGCTGGTGGGGCAGCCCGGTGAACAGAATCATTGGCCATTTTAATTGGACCAGTATTCTAATTTATCTGTTTTCGGTCATGACATATATAGACTCACACATCGGAGTAATTAACGTCAAATTAATTAGGCAAAGAATGATCGAACTTACCAATTGCAAAACATATAAAAGGAAATGATGAGAGCCAAATTGCTTGTATTTGGGGGAAAAAGTCTACTTGGAATGCACAAGACAAGGCCCATTCCTATAAAGCATCCACAGTTTTTTGGGAGGGTGTAAATTCGGGGGTGTAAAGCCACTTTTACATTACCTTTACACCTTAGGGAGGTGTAAATATGTTTTTTACTCCAGTGAAAGAATGTAAATTCAGGGATATAGCCGTGGGTCCCAACCTTTTATGTTGCTCATTTAAACATTTTACACATGCTTAACTAGGTCCTTTTTGCCAACTTTGATTTGATTTGATTGCCCTAGTATTCATTTATCCCCATGTTTTTTACAATTCCACTGCCACTTTACCACATTATGTCAATGGATATGCCAATTTATTTACTAGAGACTTCGACATACATCACATCATATATATAATATATTTCTTCTATTTTTTTTAATGTTGGCATCTTATATATTTCCTTGACACACTGGTTGGGCTTGTAATCTTCTGCCATGGAATAACATGGCTGACCTTAATTCTAGAATAAAGTACATTATAAGGTTGACCAACTCACTACTTTATCATTCTTGTTAATATGCTCATTAGGACAAAGAAAACGTTGGGAAATTAGCTGGCTTGAGAGAAGAAAAACTTAAAAAAAAACATGTGTTGTATTGGGTGGGAGGAACCAAATATTTATAACAAGATGAGAGGAACCTGATATGTATATCGAGGTGGGCAGAATCAGGTATTTATATTGAGGTGGGCTAATTTTTCTTTCCTTCTGACATAATAATAAAATTAGGTGGAAGGATAGGCTAAATTTTTACTTTGAGCAATATTAGACTTGTTTTATTTTTTTTTTTAAGAAAATTAATAACCCTAAACCCTAAACACGCTTGATGTTAATACCAGAAATTTTCTTTTCTCAAAAGATGGGGTGGGCTAGAGCCTATGGGAGCTTTATACTTGGCTCCGCCGGGTATGCCGCCGGAATTAGTTTGCACCTCATATAAAGTATAATTAGTTGAACATAATCATTACAATACTTAGAATATATAATACACATTGCTATTTTTTTTTTTTTTTTTGGGGTAAAGACATTTTATTAAAAAAGAAGCACCATAAGAGTACACAAAGGATGGGGTGAAACCATCCGAAACCCAACATGAGACATTGCTAACTTGTTTTACTTCTTGTAATCAAGAGGAAATTCCATCGCTAGTAGTGCTACGGGCACTAACTTGTTTAGTGGAAGCAATTTGTTTTATGTTTTGTCTTCTTCATTGGATATGGAACAAGATCAATGTTGTTGTTTGTTCCTTATCTCAGACTTTTCTTGTGGCAGTTTGTTTTTGTATTTTGGCTTAAATGCTTTGGAATTATCTCGTTTCAATTGCATCCATTCATGGGTTGTTTTAAGTTTTGGATTTTAAGTGGATGTGGGTTGGTTACCCTTAACCGACTCATCCTCTCATTCGGATAACACGGCTTGACCCCTCTTTAATGAAAACAAAAACACATTTCACTTTTTCTTCCTACACTTTGTTTCACGAGTTCATTAAACTGAACAATGAAAAATGTTAGAGATCATGTTTTTGCTCTTTGTTTCACGAGTTTAATGAATTCGACAACATTTTATATTAAATTGATAGAACATCAACGTGTTACCCTCTTTTTCGGCCGGGCGGGGCGGCGGAGGGACAATTTGTG